ATTAGCCAGTGTATTAACCCTTCCCGTGCCGTATTAGCCCGTGTGTTAACCCTTCCCGTGCCGTATTAGCCCGTGTGTTAACCCTTCCCGCGCTGTATTATCCCGTGTGTTAACCCTTCCCGTGCCGTATTATCCCGTGTGTTAACGCTTTCCTTGCCGTATTCTCCCTGCTTGTGTTATCCTGTGTGTTAACCCTTCCCATGCCGTGTTAATCCTTTCCATGCTTTGTTATTCCGTTGGAGTTACAGGTATTTACTAAACTGAGAAATGTCCGGAATTCAAAGTGAATTTCATATTTAAGGCCAGAGTAGCCAAACTGAAATCAGAGCTGACTTGAAGGTTTCCTGTTCGCCTGTTTTAGCCCTAAATCTGAAATTCACTTCAGATTCTCAACAATGGTCATTTTAGTAAATAGCCCCATTAACCCTTCCCAGGCCATGCTACCTTGTGTTAACCCATATACACTACTGGTCAGGAAAGGGTACAGGGAAGCAGCGCCTTCTGGCTGTCCTCAAACTCAACAGCAAACAGAATATAATTTAGTATATTTTATACGTGGTGAGGTAAAATAATAAATTAATTAGGTTTTTGCTCAATCCTGTGTAGCGTAGGGAAACCACCTACGCTACACAGGATTGAGAAAAAACTTAATTTTTAGGTCTCCTTTTGTGAGCATACCTCTTATTTTGTTTTTACAACAACAAAACAGAGAGCACTATTTTTCTGTTTTATTCTCATTTGGTGAATATCTGTGACACTGCAATTTGGAGGGCAATACCTCTGAACGCTTGATACTCTGACGCTTGACCCTGACCTACCATCTACAAGGAACCAAACTGAGCGACATATCCACAGATGGGGAACATACCGCCCAGGCGCATATATCTGGAGCTGAACATAAGTTCCAGAAAATTGTGTTCATTTATTATTTTACATCACCACCTATAGAATGCTACATTATATTCTGTCTTCATATTTTCCATACTGACTCACAACCATACGAGTTTGAGGACACCCAGAAGGCGCTGATGCCTGTACCCTTCCCTGACCTATACCTAGTTACTGCCAGAGAGTAGACACTCTGGTTTGGAAGTACCAGCCGCCATACCCAAAACTAACAAGCGCTAGGTACCTCACCATTGCACGTATCCATACACGGTACTGTATGTTACACTCTATTAACCCTTCCCATGTCATAGCACACAATATTAATCCCTCCCAGACCATATATCCTACAATCTACAGCATCCCATGTCACCACGTGCCTTGATATTGATGTATCACCCAACACCCAGATTTTACCAGGACCTTTATTCATGAGTAATAACACTAAATGTCAATTTATTATTTTCAATGGATAGGATATATAATTGACCTGTTGCAAGTACTTTCATTAAAGAAAAACGTCATAATAATACAATATCCTGTAAATAATACACTGGGCAGCAGGAACCAATATCATTTTTCCAGAGATACCAATTATTGGTCACCTTTTGGGCCGATTAATCTGGCATTAACTGAACTTGCTAGCAGCAATCACACTCCTATCACTGTCAGCCAGCCCAGTACATTACATGAGTAGATTATTCGGTATCACCTCCCTGCCTTCAGCTAAGCTCCACACGCAGGGACTCACAGAAAGGGGTGACATTAGGTCATGACGTGGCGCTTCATTGGGCGACGGCTAGAGTTTCTAGTAACAGAAGACAGCGTGTGATGACAGGATTATCGGTAAAATGCTGACTGTTGGCTATAATAAACTGTGGAACCAATAATTGGTCTATCCCTACTGGGGAGTAATAATATTGTAAGCGGTTATAAAACATACCATAATACAGTGAATTGTGGCGAATGATGTAGTGGTTATGGTGCTCTGTCGCCCTTCCAGTGTAACAAGCCATACTGTTACTGTTTGACAACTAATCTTAGGTCCTCAGGAGCCCCAAACTCTGACAAAGAGCGTCTGTTACCTTCCCTGAGCTGTGCAAGGCCAGCTCACTGGCTGAGTGGGTCAGCTGCTTGTCCTACATGGCCTCCTGGGTTAGAGCAGTACAGGGAGTGTAGGGAGCTTCCCGGCTGTAGGGTTCCTTTAATAATACAATATCAGGGTTATTTAATAAAGCAATAGGGAATTCAAAGTGAATTTCAAATTTAAAAGTCTAAATAATCAAAAAGTGGAACATTTCTCCAAATCAGCTAGGCTTTCAGTTCAGATACTCAAATTAAATGTTAAAATCACCTTGAATTCCCCACATTTCTCACTTTAGAGAAATACCCTGTAAACTGTAATAATCCAATAAACTGTGATATTAATACTATGACCTGTAATGATACAGTAAGCTGTAAAAAGACGATGTGTTTGCTTTGATGTTTAAATTAACATTTAAACTTACTGGTCTATAATAAAGGTTTATTAACTAAACTGAAATGCAGTGACTTCAATTCAAGATAGAAAAATTCAGACTAGGCTAAAATAGTCAAACTATAACGGTTTTGGAGAATACTTCCTAATCGGCTGTTTTTGCCTCCATTATTCAGAAGTTCACTGCAGTTCAGAATTTAGAGAGTAACTTTCTACAGTATGAAGGTCAGTTCCTGGTTTGGGAACATGCGCTGCAATCAGTCGCTTTATATTGTGCAGATTTCTTACTTTTCTATACTTATTATATATATTTTTTTATTCTTAGATCACTGTGATTTGTACTTGATTGTCCGAAGTCAAGCAGTGTCTGCCCTTGTTTAGTGATCTATGGATACACAAAGGTAATCATGCAAGAGTAACCCAGTTATTGCTTATTTAAATCAATCAAAATCCTAGGTTGGCTAACATTTTGTTGGCCTGGATAGCCCACGAATAACGTTAAAACAAATTATTTTTACAAAGAGTAAGATTTTCTCGCTCAGCTCTATTGTCCTACATTTGCAGTTCCTTGTTTAGCCAATAAACCCCAAGAACTATGCAGTGGGCTGTATAGTCTGCCAGGTTCCTCCAAGATGTCTGCTGAAAGTTGATGTTATCAGAGGAGTGTGGCCTCCATATTTGATGGTCAGCAGCTGTGTATCCACAGAGAGAGGGTACTGAACGGAATTAATAGCACCACTCATACAGCATGCACTCGCTGCCTTAAAGGGACACTATAGTCACCAGAACAACTACAGCTTATTGTATTTGTTCTGGTGAGTAGAATCATTACCTTCAGGCTTTTTGCTGTAAACACTGTCTTTTCAGAGAAAATGCAGTGTCTACATTACAGCCTAGGGATAATTCCACTGGCCACTCCTAAGATGGCTGCTAGAGCCACTTCCTTGGGCACTCCTGCCTAGTATGCATCCAAACATTCAGTGTCTCCACCCTCTGCATGCATAGAGATGCATTGATTCTATGAGATGCTGATTGGCCAGGGCTGTGTCTGACTTGTGCTGGCTCTGCCCCTTATCTGCCTCTTTGACAGTCTCAGCCAATCCTATGGGGAAGCATTGTGATTGGCTTACAGAATCACTTCTGATGATGTCAGCCAAGCAGGCAGATCAGAGGCAACATCTGTAGACTTTAATATAAGTAAGATTTTACTATGTTCAGGGAGGCTGGGAAGACCTATAGATGATGGTTTTAACACTATACGGTCAGGAATACATGTTTGTGTTCTTGACCCTATAGTGATCCCTTAACTGATATGGTGTTAATCTACTTAACGCATAATAGCAGTAAATATGGAGAATGCTCCATTTCATATGCAGTAAATAGCAATTTGGCTATTTTTCAATTCACTACAACTTGACATTTAGTAAATAAACCTACAATTCTAACAGTGAAGGCTGTGGAATGCCAGCATTGGCTACGAATCTGCGGTTCTCGAGGAATATATTGGGTTCTTTAGATCACTGGGAAAACATGCAACATAGATATTCAGTATAATTTATTTGAATTTCTTTGTTCTGCACACTACTTTTCACCTCTACTATGCTCGTGCCTATGCTAGCACATGTATATTTAAATATTTTTATTTAATACCCTTTAATGTTTTGGCCCCACTTATACCTGTGAATCATATCCTTGGTATCAGATGTGTATGCAGGCAGCCCACAGGGTGTAACACCTAGGAATGACATGGGGAGCAAGATACCCCCCAGCAGGCATTTCTCATGCCTGAAGTATAAAAAGCATGTCAACGCGGGTGATTGTCCTGCTTGGGGTCAATCACAGCAGGCAGGGAGCAGCTACTATGGGTGGCACGCTGGAACACTGCACATAAGTAATGCTAGAACAGCTCCTAAAACATCTTAACATATCATTTATCTTTATTATTAATAATATATACATTGCTTTAGCAGCAGTTATAATGTCAGGTGAACCTGAAATGACTTATTCCGCCACATTTCCACTTCAGAAGACCGCTAAATTTATATTGGCAGAAGAATCCTGACATTTTGCAGTCAGAGAAAAAATAAAAATTTAAAAACAAACTACCATATTCAAAAATTATAGTTCGTAATAAGGGTTAAGGCCACAAAAAAAAGCAACAGATAAAAAAAAAAAAAATTATATTTAATTAGTTGCACCAAAAAATGATGGAAACGTGTTGGTGACACTTTAAAAAAAAACAAACAAACAAAAAAAAAACGCTCCCCTCGGGGAGTAAGTGTACTTACAGCCATCGCTGGACCTGCCTCACTTGTGTATGTTGTACCACACGCACAGATATGCAATTAATGCCACAGGTTACCACACTGGGTGGACAACCTTTAGTAGTGCCACACACTCCGAAACCAGTCTGTGTTGACCGTTTCTAATAATAGTAAGAAAGCCATTGAATGAACTTATAGGTCACTTGAACCATTGAATCTATACCCCATGCATCCGCCATCTTGGTTGGGTCTATGATAACAGGAAACCCAATCACCATATTCTACGAACACATAATGCAGAATACAGACTACACACACACACACACACACCATATTAAACTAAATAGGAAAAATAACCATGTAGCTGGAGACAGTTTTGATGCATCATTTGAACATTATTTAATAGTTGACATTTTAAGTGAACATGAAAGGAAAATGATTGGAAGTAAAAGTGTGACGCTGTAACCGAAACAAGTGCTGAGATGGGCTGGAAAATCCCTTAAATGGCAAGGGGTCTGCATAGCTTAACCGTGCATGTCAGTAACGAGTATACCACTCGCATTGCAGCCGGTCTCTCCTGTGAGATCAGTGCTAATACCAGGACTTTACCCCCGGGACTGGAAGACTGAGCAGGACAGGGAACACTGCATAGGAAACACCGCAATCAGGACATGTGCAAATACCACGGCTCATTACAAACAGAGCATGGCATTCGCAGATAGGACACCCCTAAAAAATGGGGCCTATGGACAGACAAGGACCTAACACTGTTACCACTGCAGTTCTCCCAGCACTGAGTGGGTTAATTAGCACCATCCCAAATTGAATTATTAACTAGGAATGAAGGGAAGGTCAGTCACACAAATTTTGTATTTAGTTCTTTAATAATTAAAGCTGGTTTAAATTATGAGTGCAAGAGGGGCGTGGGATATGGCCCCAGAAAAAAAAGCTAAAAAGTAAAAAATAAAGCTGTATCAGAAAAATGGACAATTGCAATCACGCTGAACCTTTCCAAAGCATGTTTTACCAAGAAATGTGTGAAGTCCTGCGGGAATGTGTGGTGAAAAATAAACGTAAGACTTGGAATGAAAACTGAGAGCATGCTGAATGGACTGGGGGGGGGGGGGGGGGGGAGACAGGACTTGGCCGGGTACTACAGGTCTATGCTCTTTAGATTAATCATTAATTGCAAGTATATAAATTAGACCTCAGGGTTAAATTAACAAAATACTGTTTGAAGCAGAAAATCAATACATTTTGGACATGGTATATTTTGCTGCACATATGGCTGTGTCTGGCCTAACAATTTAGAAGTCTGTATAAGATGACAGACATTTGCAGTGGCACACCGTAGCAAACCCTGAAACCGTGCAGTGTGTGGGGTATTGTTGCAGGCAGATATTCAATGGCCTAATTATTGAGACAAACCGTGCCCCTAGTGTTCTAAGGATCCTTAACATACACTAATGAGGGGTTAAATGGCTGAGATTCAGGGAATATATTACTAGAGGGTAACCATATTGCCTAGAAATGAGGTCTGCACAGGAGGTCTGTAGGCACCTGTACTGTATGGTAGACATGAAACCTGTAACAAAGGACGGAGCAATCCCACAGCACCAGCCCTTAGTAACAGGACAGGGAACACGCTCAGGTATGTCAGATGGAAAAAACGCTCAGTAAATATCCCGGCCATACATTAGTATGCTGAGAATTAAGGCAGATACCACAATGGGCCTTTAGTCTCTCTCCACATCCTTTGTGGCCCTGCAGCAGAGAACCACAGATCTCCGATACAAACAGTGCCTCTTCGTTCATTACAAAGCGCAATGCTCTCCCCTCGTCTGGATAAACAGAGCTCCGTGGAGCAGTAAGAAAAGCAATTCCGCTATGCGGGTCAGTCTTTCCAAATGTAAAAGTAAAAAAAAAATTATATATTAAAAAAAATATTAATAATCACCATAGAAATAAAGGTTTTTACGATTTGTAGTTTGAAGTTAGCCACATAAGGCCCTCATAGAGTCCTTCTCCAGTGTTGGCACAAGATGGCTGAACGTACCAGTTCCTGTCTCGGATACGAGTCAGTCCAAGCTTTTCTTGGATTTCATGGGGTTTCATGGCATCTACCAGATCCTGTTTATTGGCGAAGATGAGAATAATTGCATCACGCATCTCTCGGTCGTTTATAATGCGGTGCAGTTCCTGCCGTGCCTCGTCTATTCTGTCTCGGTCAGCACAGTCTACCACAAATATCAGGCCCTGTGTGCCGGTGTAGTAGTGTCGCCATAGAGGACGGATCTTGTCCTGACCACCTACATCCCACACGTTGAATTTAACATTCTTGTAGGTGACAGTCTCCACATTGAAGCCCACAGTTGGGATGGTGGTAACTGACTGGCCAAGCTTGAGTTTGTAGAGAATGGTGGTCTTACCAGCCGCATCAAGGCCCAACATCAAAATCCGCATCTCCTTGTTCCCAAACACCCTGGATAACATGTGCCCCATGATGGAGATTCAGAGTCCATACAGCTGCACTGGATATGGGGAGAGAAAACCGAAAAATCAACAGCAAATCACTCCCCCCGAAACACTTATATACACAGCTGCATCAACCAGAGGCAGGAAGTCCCTATACATATTGCAGGGAATTCTATTCACAGATCTTAAAAGTTCCATATAGACTTTCATAAACTCTGATGGCGTTACACACTCCACTACTATACAAGGTGGAAGCTCTGCTCCAACTGTTGGAGGGTAACAACAGGAAATTATATGCAGGATTCACTTACAATAGCCAACATTTAAAAATTTTCTATAACAGATTACAAAGAATTCTGAAATATCAAAACATTTTACCACACTAAACTTAAAGGAGAACAGTCAACTCTCTAGAAATTACACCATGAAAAAAAAAAAAAAAAAAACATTGAAAATCATCTACAACTTTATTTTTTTAATGCATTGCTCCGTTTTCTTTTAAAGGGTCACTCCAGGCACCCAGACTACTTCATCTCATTAAAGTGGTCTGGGCACTGTGTCCCTGTCCCCTTAACCCTGCAAAGTAAAACATAATTTCAGAGCAATGCAAGGTTTATATTGCAAAATGAAGACAACCTCTTTGCATGAGGATTCCTATGGGGAAGGCCTAACATGCATACGGTGCTTGTTGTGCATGTGCATTAGATTCCCCCATCAGAATGACTTCGCTGGAGAAGGTAATCCACCCAGCAGAGCGGGTCCTTGTATCTGAAAAGTGGGGGGTGGGAGGAGGGGGGACACCATAAAGCTTTAGGAATACAGTTATGTATTCCTAATGCTAGTGTTCTCTGAAATTTATATAAAAGATTAAGCAAATTATAGCAAAATAAGGTGCATTAAAAGACAACAGGTAAAAACCACCGCAATTAATAAATTGCACCAAAAATTCGATGCAACAGTGTCACTGACACTGACATAATTTGCTCTATAAGCTTTCATTACAGTGAAAGTACAAATCTAAGGAAGGAAGACCACCCCAGGGTTTTTAACTCTGAGCATTCTGACACCTTTTATTAAACCAAATCTGCAGCATATTCATTTTTGCTATTTACACATTTCACTTGGAATTTCACAGATCCTGTGCATATCACTACCATCCCATTATCCCCTACACCTCACTCTGCTACTGTTTTACAGATTTCCAATTTTTGCTGATTGATTTCCCTATTGGACACTGTCAAATTATAAAATGTGGACTATTTAATATAAAACATTTTAAAGTCATTACACTTGGCAAATTTGTCAACAATTTCTGTCAAATTTAACAGTAAATTTTACTTTTTATATTTTTTTCACATACATAAGTTTACGTAAATTTAAGGGGAACTGCATGTGTGCCCTATCTATTATGACCCTGTCCTCGAAGAGACATTTGTATTCTGCTGCGTGTTCTGTGTACACAAATACCCCACATGTATATCTTGAGCAGTTACAGGATGAAATCAGATACATGCCCTAATTTTGCCATGCCTCCCTGCTAATCCAGAGTATTTACTGACCCTCTCCCTGCTAATCCATAGTATGCAGTGACCCCCTACCATGCTAATCCAGAGTATGCAGAGACCCATCCTATACTAATCCAGAGTATGCAGTGACCCCCTGCCAGCTAATCCAGAGTATGCAGTGACCCCCTGCCAGCTAATCCAGAGTATGCAGAGACCCATCCTATACTAATCCAGAGTATGTAGTGACCCATCCTATGCTAATCCAGAGTATGCAGTGACCCATCCTATGCTAATCCAGAGTATGCAGTGACCCCCTGCCAGCTAATCCAGAGTATGTAGTGACCCCCCTGCCAGCTAATCCAGAGTATACAGTGACCCCCTGCCAGCTAATCCAGAGTATGCAGAGACCTATCCTATACTAATCCAGAGTATGCAGTGACCACCCTCCCTGCCAGCTAATGCAGAGTATGCAGTGACCCCCTCCCATGCTAATCCAGAGTATGTAGTGACCCCCTGCCAGCTAATCCAGAGTATGCAGTGACCCCCTGCCAGCTAATCCAGAGTATGCAGTGACCCCCTGCCAGCTAATCCAGAGTATGCAGTGCCCCCCTGCAAGCTAATCCAGAGTATGCAGTGCCCCCCTGCCAGCTAATCCAGAGTATGTAGTGACCCCCTACCAGCTAATCCAGAGTATGCAGTGACCCCCTGCCAGCTAATCCAGAGTATGCAGTGACCCCCTGCCAGCTAATCCAGAGTATACGGTGACCCCTTGCCAGCTAATCCAGAGTATACGGTGACCCCCTGCCAGCTAATCCAGAGTATGCAGTGAACCCCCTGCCAGCTAATCCAGAGTATGTAGTGACCCCCTGCCAGCTAATCCAGAGTATGTAGTGACCCCCTGCCAGCTAATCCAGAGTATGTAGTGACCCCCTGCCAACTAATCCAGAGTATGCAGTGACCCTGACCCCCTCCGTGCTAATCTTGAGTATCCAATGACCACCTTCTTGCTAACCCTAAATACCCCTTGTCTCCCCCCAACTAATCCTGTATACCCCGTGCCTCCCTTCAGATAATCCTGAATATCATGTGCATTCTCCAGGCAAATCTCAAGTATCCCATCCCAGTAAATCCTGGGTACCCATGTCTTCTCCCAGTTAACACCGGGTACCCCACTGCCCCCCGAGTTAATCAAGGGTACTTCATGCTCCCCCCAGTCAATCATGGGTACCCCATGTCGTCATCCCCCAGTTAATCCCACGTACTCTGTGTCCCACCCAGTTAATCCTGGGTACCCCCCAGTGAATCCAGGGTATACTATGCCCCCGCCCCACCCCTAGGTAATCCCAAATACCCTCCCCAATCTCAATTAATACCCAGGTAGTCCATGTGGCCCCTCCTCAATTAGTCCCTAATACCCTTTCCCCCTCCTCCACCAACAATTAATCTTGGGTACCCTGTCCCTCACTTTAGTTAATCCAGGGTTCCCTGTCCCACCTCCTCAGATAATCCTGGGGTACCCTGTCCCCGCCCTTCTCAATTAATCTTGACTTCCCTATGTCCCCCCCCTTTAATTAATCCCAAATACCCTGTGTTCCCCTCAATTAATCCCGGGTACCGTGTGTCCCCCCTCAGTTAATCCAGAGTACCCCGTGTCCCCCCTCCTCAATTAATCCCCGGTACCCCGTGTCCCCCCTCCTCAATTAATCCCGGGTAGCCTGTGTCCCCCTCCTCAATTAATCCCCGGTATCCCCAGTGACCCCCAGACAGACAGACAGTGACCCCCAGACAGACAGAGACAGACCCACAGCTAATCCTGGGTACCCTGCCTCCACCCCCATCTCAATTCATTTTGACTACCCTATGTCCCCCCCCTCAATTAATCCCGAATACCCCGTGTCCCCCCCTCTCAGTTAATCCCGGGTACCCCGTGTCCCCCCCTCTCAGTTAATCCCTGGTACCCCGTATTTACTCAGTTAATCCAGGTACCCCGTGTCCCCCTCTCCAGTTAATCCGGTTACCCGTGTCCCCTCTCAGTTAATCCCGGTTACCCCGTGTCCCCTCTCAAGTTGTCCAGGTACCCCAGTGTCCCCCCCTCTCAGTTAATCAGGTACCCGTGTCCCCCCCTCTCAGTTAATCCCGTTACCCCGTGTCCCCCTCTCAGTTAATCCCAGGTACCCCGTGTGTCCCCTCTCTCCAGTTAATCTCAGGTACCCCGTGTCCCCCCTCTCAGTTAATCCAGGTACCCCGTGTCCCCTCTCTCGGATTAATCGGGTACCCGTGTCCCCCCTCTCAGTTAATCCCGGTTACCCCGTGTCCCCCTCTCAGTTGTCCAGGTACCCCGTGTCCCCCCCTCTCAGTTAATCCGGGTGCCCGTGTCCCCTCTCAGTTAATCCAGGTACCCCGTGTCCCCCCCACTCTCAGTTAATCCGGGTACCCCGTGTCCCCCCCCTCTCAGTTAATCCAGGTACCCCCGTGTCCCCCCCTCTCAGTTAATCAGGTACCCCGTATCCCCCCCTCTCCAGTTAATCCCGGGTACCCTGTCCCCCCCTCTCAGTTAATCCCGGGTACCCCGTGTCCCCCCCTCTCAGTTAATCCCGGGTACCCCGTGTTGATCCCCGATTCTTACAGCTGATGCGGATAGCGGATCCCAGGACTGCCCTCGGTACCGGCTCCTGACCCCGGCTGGCTCTGGATCCCGGAATCGGAAGGGCGCGGGCAGCAGTACCACACCGACTCGGAGTGCGCAAGCGCAGGAGCCCTGCCCTCACCCTGAGCCGTATTGAGCATGCGCAGATCTCTGCCCTGGCCTTCACGGAACTCAGTGCGCATGCTCAGTGCCCCCACGCCGCTTCCGCCCCTCCAACGCGCACGCGCAAATCTCCTCCTACACCTCCCCCCCGCTCACTGCGCATTATCAGTGACCCTGAGCACTGCGCGTGCGCATCACTAGGATGACGTATCTCTCGCCACAGGATGATCTTGGCCAATGGTGGGGCCAGTTCAAAAAGCGACCAATCAGGAAAGAGTAGTCTGCCTACGTCATGAACCGCTGACTATAAAATCGTTTTTCTCGGCATTGCTAGGTTAGTGGGGAAGTAAGGAGAGTAGGGAACAATGGCAGAGACAGGGAGTGCTTGTCAGTGCTTGTCAGTGCTTGTCAGTGCTTGTCAGTGCTTGTCAGTGCTTGTCAGTGCTTGTCAGTGCTTGTCAGTGCTTGTCAGTGCTTGTCAGTGCTTGTCAGTGCTTGTCAGTGACCCCCAGACAGAGTGACAGACAGACAGTGACCCCCAGACAGACAGAGTGACAGAGAAGCTCTCAGTGACCCCCAGACAGAGTGACAGAGAAGCACTCGGTGACCCCCAGACAGAGCGAGAGAAGCACTCGGTGACCCCCAGACAGAGCGAGAGAAGCACTCGGTGACCCTCAGACAGAGCGAGAGAAGCACTCGGTGACCCCCAGACAGAGTGAGAGAGAAGCACTCGGTGACCCCCAGACAGAGTGAGAGAGAAGCACTCGGTGACCCCCAGACAGAGTGAGAGAGAAGCACTCGGTGACCCCCAGACAGAGTGAGAGAGAAGCACTCGGTGACCCCCAGACAGAGTGAGAGAGAAGCTCTCGGTGACCCCCAGACAGAGTGAGAGAGAAGCACTCGGTGACCCCCAGACAGAGTGAGAGAGAAGCACTCGGTGACCCTCAGAGTGAGAGAAGCACTCGGTGACCCTCAGAGTGAGAGAAGCACTCGGTGACCCTCAGAGTGAGAGAAGCACTCGGTGACCCTCAGAGTGAGAGAAGCACTCGGTGACCCTCAGAGTGAGAGAAGCACTCGGTGACCCCCAGACTCAGAGAGAAGCACTCGGTGACCCCCAGACTCAGAGAGAAGCACTCGGTGACCCCCAGACTCAGAGAGAAGCACTCTCGGGTGACCCCCAGACTCAGAGAGAAGCACTCGGTGACCCCCAGACTCAGAGAGAAGCACTCGGTGACCCCCAGACTCAGAGAGAAGCACTCGGTGACCCCCAGACTCAGAGAGAAGCACTCGGTGACCCCCAGACTGTGAGAGAAGCACTCGGTGACCCCCAGACTGTGAGAGAAGCACTCTGTGACCCCCAGACTGTGAGGGAAGCACTTAGTGAACCCCAAGCAGACAGTTACAGAGAAGCACTCGGTGACCCACAGACAGAGTGAGAGAAGCACTCGGTGACCCCCAGAGTGAGAGAAGCACTCGGTGACCCCCAGAGTGAGAGAAGCACTCGGTGACCCCCAGAGTGAGAGAAGCACTCGGTGACCCCCAGACTGTGAGAGAAGCACTCGGTGACCCCCAGACTGTGAGAGAAGCACTCGGTGACCCCCAGACTGTGAGAGAAGCACTCGTGACCCCCAGACTCGGAGAGAAGCACTCGGTGACCCCCAGACTCGGAGAGAAGCACTCGGTGACCCCCAGACTCGGAGAGAAGCACTCGGTGACCCCCAGACTCAGAGAGAAGCACTCTGTGACCCCCAGACTGTGAGGGAAGCACTTAGTGAACCCCAAGCAGACAGTTACAGAGAAGCACTCAGTGACCCCCAGACAGACAGTTACAGAGAAGCACTCAGTGACCTCAGAGAGTGTGTGAGAAGCACTCAGTAAGCCTCTCTGTTTCCAAGTCTTACTTGTTTCACTCCCAGCACAAAAACAGGGAAGATCATAGAGACTGTTGGTTTAAAAACGCTGTACGACCCAAGTTGCCTTTACATGGCAGAAGGACCCAAATACTAAACGTAGGAATTACTTTCTCTCTCTCTTTTTATTTTACATCATTAAAATGTATAATATTTAATTTCCTTGAAATCATTCTTATATTAAAAAAAAATGCTTTGTGGTGCAAGTTGTCCATCCCAAGCCAAGTAGGTCTGTAGAATCCCAGACTTGTTCCCACAAAACTGCCCTGGGAAAGCCTGGGAGGGAGTCTTGTAAGGGCCTTGACAGGGTGTAGGAGGTTATTAGACACCTGACGAAGTGATCTGACCTTTCAGGAGAGGCTATGAAATCTGGTATCTCAGCAAATCATGTTAAAGTGAAATCCATATATTTTTAACTTATAAATAGTGTGGCGAAACCGGCCTCGCCACGTGTCTTTGGAGGGGGCTGCTTGCCCGCCTCTTGCCTTTGGACTATGGACCAGACTTTATGTGAAGGTATTAACCCAGATAGCTATGCCATGGAGCCCATTCGTGTAGTTAAAGACTTCGGCTCCATGGCAATTGAACTGTGTGAATAGGATCTGAGTGCTATTTGGTAGTTTTGTGCGCTCAGATCCCAGCTATCTGGGGATATGTGATATGTCTGTGTTTTATGTATAAAATGTGACGTTATGTATTTTAAAGTGTTTTGTGTCTTTTTGCAACCATGTGCTTAATGGAGTCTTGTGTCTGTCCTGGGAGATAATTGAATTACTCTCCAGGATAGAAGACTCTGAAACTGGTTTGGGCCAGAAAGCCATGCTTCATTTAGTCACAAAGGACTTTCCCTTAACTTTTGAACCCCTGGTCTGATTCGTGCCATTTTTTTAATATGCTGTTCCCCTGAATGGATTGATTATGAAAATGTATGTTTTATGTTTGTGACATGTATATTTTAGAAGTTATAAATATTGTGTAAAAACTGTATTCCTCTGCCGGTGATAATGAGATTACCCATTGTGTTCAGTAATCATATCACCTGCAGAGGGGAGGATTTTGTGTGGGAGTGTCTGGGTGTATTGTACGGATTGATTGGCTGTTTGGTAACGCCCTGTGGGCTGTACTATGTTTGTGGATTGGGAATAAAAGAGACTGTATGTGACAGTACAGGGAGTTCCTGTTTTAACCCTCAAAGTGAAGTGTCGCCTCATTATTGGGGGAAGGATTTATTGTATGCTGTTCCAGTTTGACTGCTAGGAGAGTAAACCTATTCATATGGTTCCTATTCAACTGTCTACAGCATTCACATGCTTGAGAGCATTCATATGCTCCTACGGTTCGGTGGTTTTGGTGTCTGCTGCAGTGCTTGGAGTCCTCAGGAAGCGCTAGGAGCATCCTTCAACGGAGGTACCCAGTCGGGGTGCCAGGCGATCCGTTACAAATAGCTTTGTAGTTAGTGCTGAGCAACTTCTAGAGAATTTTTGAGCAGGATGACCAGATCCACCATGTTTTCAGGATAACATAATTTTGTCATATTTTTAAAAACACATTAAAAGCATTGCTGTACAGTATGTATAATGCACATTCTGCAGGATTCTTCATGCTTAATTAATTGCTTAATATCCTACACCTTCTGAATTCTACATACTACACGGCTTCCCTTTTCATGTGCTGGCAATCAATATGTACACGTGATGTGTCCCAGAAAACATGGTGGATTTGGTCACCCTGGTGTTGAGACCAAATTGAGCATTTGCAATGATTGTCTAAATCGATTAGTCCAATGCTTCTGGTAGAAAGGTTTAGGATGGCTGACAAACAAGGGACTGGGATGAATAAAATATACTCAAATGCGAATACCAAATATCTAAAAAAATAGCTGCCAGACTAGGTACTAAATGATAACAAAAGCAAAAATAAATAAATTTTATTTAGTCAAATACAATAAAGATGAGAAAAACATATAAGTGCTTGTGTACTAAAAAGGCGAACAAAGTAATAAGTACTAATGAAGTGTCTCTCCTAGAATATTGCCAAAAATCATGTAGGAAATGGGGGCCGTGGCCTCGATTTGGAGCCGCATGGATGCATCTCTGTTAGCTCTCTCTGAGCAATAGCCAGAAACGCAGCAATTCGCAGAAAATCACAGCAGGTAAAGCACTATTACCTCTGCAACAGCACAACTGTGTCTCAGCAGCCTTCATGGCGAAAGCTGCTCCCGCAAAGACGTATATCACATTTAAGAGGGCGCCACAGCGACCTCTGGAGCAGGTTGTCCTTCCCAACCAAGGCAGGTGTAGGACACATTGAGAATCTGCTTCTACTTTAACTTTCTTTGTATGTACCTCGCTTAAACTCGGGTTATGTATAATTCATAGTCTATTAAACTGATGATACGGATATGTCCAGACAGCACGGGCTACCCAGATATCTGTATGTCGCGAATGGATGGGATGTTACGAAGGTTGCATATGCCTTACTTACTACCTAGGTTCTGTTTATCTCAATATGTCATTTGTGCCTCCATTCACAGATAAGCAAGCTAACAGCACCACATTACTTGTGAGAGGAGAACCGTGCTTGGTCCCATGCCTGGTTTGGTGGGTCCTTTGTGTGATTTTCATGACTTTTTGGCACAGGGGCTCCTCCAGTACACTATACCAACCACTTTGAAAATTGTCACCCACAATGTTAAAGGGTTGAAAATCCCAGAAAAGCGTAGATTTAAATCAACATGTCATTTGGACCATGACTCTTATTCAATGAGCCTCCCACTTAAAGAAAATTCAGCCTAAAATCTCAGAATTGTCTGATAGCCATAAGCTTACCCCATCCCCCATATCACACTAGAACTGTCTCAATGGCGGAATGTGCTTAGAGAACAAACTATTACTGTAGCAGATTAAAAGCGACACACTATCGTGCTACGGGCAAGCGTGTTAGGACTTAGCACAATATCTCACGGAACTTGACAATTGGAAAAGTGCATGAATATCAGATCCTTAATCCATTAGCAGATTTTTCGCTCTTTTACTCTGAACTTTACAAACTGAAAAATGATCCTGACTGCAGACACCCTATCCTCTGTGGTATAAGGGAATATTAATCTCATATTACAATCACGATATAGGGACTGTCCTATTAGTCACAGCCTGACAGAGTATAGTTGTTAAAGTTTCAGTGTGTGCCATTCAGCCTCAAGATGGCGCTGTTGTCCTGAAAATCAAGTTTACCTTTACCTGACCATGTCTTCTCTGATTGGTCACTTTGGAGTCACTGAATTCTCTTGGCAGGTTTGGATTTGTCTTTCTATACGTGCTGTAAAGTCAAACAGCAATGCAGAAAGAGTAGTAGATATCTGGAACAGCCTTCCAGTGGAAGCAGTAAACACCAACAGTGATATAGAAATGGTAGTAGACATCTGGAATAGCCTTTCAGTGGGAGCAGTAACAGTGATATAGAAAGGGTAGTAGACACCTGGAATAGCCTTCCAGTGGGAGCAGTAACAGTGATATAGAAAGGGTAGTAGATACCATGAATAGCCTTTCAGTGGGAGCAGTAACAGTGATATAGAAAGGGTAGTAGATACCCGGAATAGCCTTAAAGTGGGAGCAGTAACAGTGATATAGAAAGGGTAGTAGATACCAGGAATAGCCTTCCAGTGGGAGCAGTAACAGTGATATAGAAAGGGTAGTAGATACCATGAATAGCCTTCCAGTGGGAGCAGTAACAGTGATATAGAAAGGGTAGTAGATACCCGGAATAGCCTTCCAGTGGGAGCGGTAACAGTGATATAGAAATGGTAGTAGATACCCGGAATAGCCTTTCAGTGGGAGCGGTAACAGTGATATAGAAAGGGTAGTAGATACCTGGAATAGCCTTCCAGTGGGAGCAGTAACCGCGATATAGAAAGGGTATTAGATACCCGGAATAGCCTTCCAGTGGGAGCAGTAACAGCGATATAGAAAGGGTAGTAGATACCCGGAATAGCCTTCCAGTGGAAG